TGGGGTCAGGAATGGGGGATTGGGGTCAGGAATGGGGAATTTGGGGGTCAGGAATGGGGAATTGGGGTCAGGAATGGGGAATTGGGGTCAGGAATGGGGAATTGGGGTCAGGAATGGGGATTGGGGTCAGGAATGGGGATTTGGGGGGCTCAAAAATGGGGATTTGGGATCCCAAAAATGGGAATTTGGGCGGATTTACCAGTAGAAACCAGTCCAAACTCTTCTAACCCAGTCCAAACCAGTCCAAACCAGTCTAAACCAGTCCAAACCAGTCCAAACCAGTCTAACCCAGTCCAAACCAGTATATCCCAGTCTCCCCAGTACCTGGAGGCCCTGCAGGGCCACGAAGAGCCTCAGGATGTCCTGAAACCCCTCCCAGTCTAAACCAGTCCAAACCAGTCCAAACCAGTCCAAACCAGTCCAAACCAGTATAAACCAGTATAACCCATTCCAAACCAGTCTAACCCAGTCCAAACCATTCCAAACCAGTCTAAGCCAGTCCAAACCAGTCCAAACCAGTCCAAACCAGTCTCCCCAGTACCTGGAGGCCCTGCAGGGCTATGAAGAGCCTCAGGATGCCCTGAAACCCCTCCCAGTATAAACCAGTCTAAACCAGAATAACCCAGTCCAAACCATTCCAAACCAGTCCAAACCAGTATAAACCAGTATAAACCAGTCCATCCCAGTCTCCCCAGTACCTGGAGGCCCTGCAGGGCTATGAAGAGCCTCAGGATGCCCTGAAACCCCTCCCAGTATAAACCAGTCTAAACCAGTGTAACCCAGTCTAAACCAGTCCAAACCAGTATAAACCAGTCTAACTCAGTCCAAACCATTCCAAACCAGTATAAACCAGTCTCCCCAGTACCTGGAGGCCCTGCAGGGCTATGAAGAGCCTCAGGATGCCCTGAAACCCCTCCCAGTATAAACCAGTATAACCCAGTCCAAACCAGTATAACCCAGTCCAAACCAGTCTAACCCAGTCCAAACCAGTCCAAACCAGTCCAAACCAGTCTAAACCAGTCTAACCCAGTACCTGGAGGCCCTGCAGGGCTATGAAGAGCCTCAGGATGTCGTTGGTTCCCTCGAAAATCCGGAAAATTCTCAAATCCCGCAGGACCCGCTCGACCCCCGGCTCCTGGGGGAAACAAAAATCAACAAGAAATTAAAATAAAATTAAAATAAAATTAAAAATGAAATTAAAAAT